TAAATGGACCTTGTTACGTTTCATAAGAATCAATCGAATAAAATGAGACGATCGACAACATGCTTGTCTTGTCATTTGTACCTACATAAAATGGACAAATTTACAGGGTCGACTTAATTTAGTTGGTGTATTTGTGCGAATAGTCATCTCTCTAAATATACCGTTTCAGTTATTTTTTCGTTGTAACTATTGTTATCGTGGTTTTTGTTGGTGTCATTGTTGTTTTTATTGTTATTTTTGTTGTTAACTTCCAACGAAATGGTCTGAGAAGTAAAATTAGCAATACTGTTTACGGTATCGTAACTAAAAAACAGTAAGTCAGCAGGTAAAATCTGCAAGCAGAACTCAAAACAAGGCAATTAATAGATGTCTCAAAGAGAACATTCTTAGTTTTATCAAAAACTGAATTATATAAATATTATTGTATTGAATTATCTTAGATCTTACAACAACTTTTTCACCATACTGTAGCACGACTACTACCTCAAGCCGATCCTGTAAATTTGCTCATTTAATGTAGGTACAGACAACAAGACAAGCACGTTTTCAACCGTCTCATTCTATTCGATTGATTCTTATGAAACGTAGGTGCAGGCCTTGACACAGCTCTGGAAGAGGCGTGTCTAGAGAATAAGGACAGGATATTTTCCGTTTGTAAGAACGAGAAAAACGATATGCCTATGTGTGCATTATTTATTGGGGACTTTGCCTTCTTATTTCGACTGTACTATACTAGGGGTAGTTCACTACATATTTAAAAGTGGGGAATAATTACATTCTGTTTGATCGTTTAACAATATACCTTATCCGTTGTATTTATTTATTTCCATTTTGCTAGCACGAGAGGCGAGTTTTTCAGAGGTCCTTCCAACTCTGATGCTGGATGCGGACTGGCGATTTTTCCTGCTCAAATTACATTACCTTGGAAATAAATAAATAAAAAAGTTAGGTATTTTGCTACATGATCATACAGAATGTAACAGTTTTCCATCATTAAATTTGTTCTGAACTACCCCTGGTAACATTGTACATAAACTCTGTTAAGTGAGTAGTAGATATTCAAAATCTGATGTACCCAAAAGTGACGAAACAATTGCTACTATTTAGATAAAAGTGTGTCAAAATCTTAAAGCTTATTTTTATTTTGATGTGGATTTTTATCAGGTCGAATATATTCAAAAGATATTCATATAATAGTGTAGACCTAGCACAGTTTCATACGATTTAAGCTACAGTTTTAATTTTCCTAACTAACTAACCGTAAGTTTTCTTTAATTTCGCAGGTGAGATCGAAGTAGTTTCTTTAACTGCTGAAAAACTGGAAGAGAGTTTACATGTTCTGCGGGTTGGCTTCTTTCCACAAGAAAATGTATGTAGGGCCACTCAAGTAGCACAAAATTTAAATGCAATGAAAGAATTAGAAAATTTATGTGTCGATGTTGCTAAAGAAGGATGCTCAATAATTGCAATAGACAGGATAACTCAAAAAGTTGTTGGAGTGGCTTTCAACAAATTACAGGTAACGCTTTCTTTATTTTACTACAAAATTATTGTTAAAATATATTGCTATTATTCTCCTAATAATAATCTAAGATATGTGCTTAAACTTCTTCCAAAATTTTTGTAAGGGATGGCTCTGGGCTTTCATAATTAAACTTGACTATGATGTATTAACAATATTTATTGATAAAAGTCTATTTAACTACAGAGAAACTATATTCCGACACATATGCTTCCTAACGCTCTCACAGCTAGCTCAACTCTACCCTTTGACTCCTCCTTCTTCCGATACAACCCTTTCCGCTATACGGAATCGCCCATGTATATTCCACTTGTAGGAACCGCTAAACTATACTGCTATACTAGTTGTACCCACTCTTACATTTTATTGGTTTTATATTAACCTATTGTTAAATGAATAACATACTTGACATGTATAATATTGTTCAAATTAGTTCCATGTGAAGGCTTTTATGAACTGTTTGATAATAAGCAAAACGCTTGGAATGCATTTTCCTCTTGGTTAATACATGTAGTCCTAATTCGCAGTCTAATCTTGAGGATAATTAATTATTAACAGTTACTATAAAATTTATAATAGATTCTGGCAAAGAAATTAAAACTGCTTAACATATATAGGGTATAACTGAAATAAGTGCGGAGTTGCAGGAAGTGATGTGGCACTACCAAACAGGAAAAACATAAAGCAACGACTAGTACGATCCAGGTAAATCGGCTGATAATAAGCACTATCGTCTTTAGCACTAGGTCGGTATATCGTTCTCTTCCTTCTCCTAAAGTCACTTGCTGGTTTTGGAAATTGCTGATATAAAGGGGAGAGGAGAATAGAAATTGAGAAACAGACTTACTCATGCTACCAAATTGCATAGACGTTTTAATTTTTTTTTCCTGATTTCGTAGCAAATAATCCCCAATGTAGCTTATACACACGAAATAGCTCCTATGTTAAATATTTAACTAATANCGGCCTATTTAAATTGCTATCGAATTACCGAGAACAATCTTCAATACGAATTATAATTCATATTGAAGATTGTTCTCGGTAATTCGATAGCAATTTAAATAGGCCGCTGTATAACAGCTCAAATTAGTAGGTATATGTACAGCTGATCGTAATATACTACAAGCTAATACTGACTGAAATAAACAACATAATCATAAGGTCGTCAATCCTGAGACTGGGTGGACACGCACCTCCACTCTTTCCTATCCTGAGCTAATCTTCGCAATTCCCTAAAACTAGAATATCTCACCTCCTTAACTATTTGCCAATAGTAATCTGATCTAGGTCTACATCTACGTTCCTTAACTTCTGTTTCTGCCTTTAATATGTCACCGACTAGACCATCCTGCCTGAGAAGATGTCCTACTACCTATTTGTTATTGACTTTTATGGAGTCCTCTGTTCACATGTTGTTTCTAATACCTCTTTTCTAAGCTTCTCTATCCACGATATCCTCATCATTCGCCTGTAACTCCATGTTTTGGAGCTTCTTACCTTTTCTTTTCTGCCGCACCCACTCTCCATGTTTCGCACCCGTACAACACCCCGCTCCAAACATACACCTTTAACAATCTTATACGAATGTCTCAATTAACCGTTTGCGAGCATTGTGACTTCCTTTTATTGAAGGCGATTGAACCCTGCGCTATCCTCTGCTTTATATCGCTACTACTCTTTCTGTCCTGACTTATCTTACTTCTTAGATATCTAAAATCAGGCACTTCTTCTAATCCTTCGTCTTCTATCATTATATTCGCTCTTTCCCTACCTTTTCTTCGCTTGCATACCACTATTTTTATCTTATTTCTATATATTTTCATTCAATCCCATTTTGTTGATACCGCTTTCATTTATTTAACGCTATCTCTAACTCCTCCTTACTTGATGCTAACACTGCTATATCATCTGCTAATGTAGGCATAGTAATATTTCTAAATTTACGAATCCTATGTACGCTTTCTTTCCTTCTATGGTTTTCTCTATTGTTATCCATAAAACTAGAATGGCCTCCCCTGATTGTCTATTTCTTCTATGCCCAAATTGATCTTCCCCTAATAGTTCTTCCGCCCTTTTTTCCGTCCTTCCCTGTGCAATTATAGTTAAGATTTTTGACGCATGGGAAGTTAAGCCAATTTTTATAAATATCTCGCACCTATCCGCTCCTCGCTTTTTAGGTATGATTACTACCACGTTCCATTTATCCGGAATATTCCCCCTCGTAAATGTGACTAATTAACTTAAACATACGATCTCTAACTTCTTGTCCTGCATGTTTTAGAATTTCCGCCTGTATACCATGCATACCTGGCGCCTTATTATTCTTTAACATGTCCCGATGCTACGAACTCTTCTCTCATTAAGGGATAACCTAGCACATCTTCCTCCTGTAATATTTTTTCTAACTCATTGCCTGCGTGTAGGTTCTGTAAGTATTCTTTTCATCTGTCTGCATTTTCCTAATTTTCTCATAATGAACCCTACCTCATTTCTTACATTATTACGACAGTACCCTACTTATCAAAAATTCCTTTTAATTATATTATAAGCCTCATCCGCTTTACCTACTTCAAACTTTTCTTCTACTTCTTTGCATCTCATAGCAATCCACTGTCCCTTGGCTGCCTTACAATTCCTAATTATTTCCTACTTCATCGCCTTATATTTTTTTGCCTTTCTTCGTTTGCCCTGTTTATGTATTTTCGTCTTTCTTCTATTAACCCTACAATCTCATTTGTTATCTAGGGTTTCCTACTTTCGTTTTGTTTAAGACCTAATATATGTGTGGCTGTTGACTTTAGACATGGTTTAATGTATTTTCATGCTGTCTCTATGTCACTGTCGATCGTTTCTCCCGCCTTCTTTAGTACTTCGCCTGTTCTTTACCTATCACGCGTTTCTTTACATTTTAGCTTTTTAATGTCAAGACGTCTCCTACCTTCCTTCCTATTTAGAATTTTCACTTAAGATTTGTCTTCATAACTACTACGTTATGAGCGCTATATCTGTTCCTGGATAGCTCCTACAGTCATTTACTTGATTTTTTAATTTTTACCTAACAATTTAACCGATTCCTCCCTAAACCACCTGGTGTCTTCTACGTATAGCGCCTCGTAATATAGTATTCGCGACTGTTAAATTATGTTTATCGCAAAATTCTACCAGTCTATTTACTCTAGAATTTCAATTACCTAATCCAAAAGAACCTGCTGTTGCACCGTCTTAACCTTCACCTTGTACTGCGTTGTCTTCTACAGCTATTAGGTTTTCCTTCCGTTTCACTAAATTTAACTTAAAATAAGTATAGTGTTATATAAATAAGTAGTGGTGGTGTCAGTGTTAGGTTGAAGATATACAACGGGAAGTAAATTCTGTAGTGAAAAAGGCGAGAAAATTAACAAATTTGAAGAATGTCATTTTGATATAGAAGATCAAGTTGGAAACAGCAACAAGAAGACTATGCCAGGAAGATTGCAAGCGCTGCAGGGATGTTGAGGAGCATGAGGAAGTTAGAAGAATAACTGTCACGGGTGAGCAATGGCAGCTTTACGACACAAGACAGAACAAAACTCTGAGTCGGTCCTAATAATGCCCCGAGAATGGAAAACTGAAGGATGCCGATTGGCCTAGCAAGAGGTGGCTGTTAAATCTAGTGAAATCGTTATGGTGTCCATGGATTTTTATTGTTGAACAACATAGTCTCCTGAATCGGGTGGTAGAAAACCAGGATGGTACGGGGAAAGGTATCAACTGATCGTATTGTAAAGTTTGGTTAGGGACATCCTGCAATACCTTCTGCAGTCCTTCGGGAGGACATTTTGAGGTTTACGGGACCCTTGGAAGGGTATGCGAGCGATTTTTCTGGGCAAAAACGACGTTGAAGAATAGTGTAGAAAATGTACGATTAGTGTAGCCATTAAGGCACCGAAAAAGCTACAGCGTGCCCCCAATGCTTTAATATTGTCCGTAACTTATTTAAAACTATTGCCATAGATGTTGCAGGACCGTTTCCGGAAACCGGTGATAGAAGTATGAGTACATCTCAGTGGCAATGGATTGCCTCACGAAATAGGTGGAAGCGTATGCCCTTCCCAACTAGACAGCCATTACCGTTACAGAAGACCTCGTCAATCACCTAATGAGCCGATTAGGTACACCGATGCTGTATTCTGTCAAGGGCCTAAACTTTCCAGGACTTCTGCAAAATATTGTGAATTCGCAAAACCCGAACAGCACCTCGTCATCCTTAGTCAAATGAAATGATACAGTAAATAAATAAAACCACGAAGTACTGTTTGGTCGGGAACCGTGACTATTACGAGGGCAAGATGAAAAATTCTTTGGCCTGACAATGAATGGCTGCGATTTTCAGTTAAAAAATGATTTTATATTTCTATATAATCTCCCTCAACTTCAACACATTTGGTCCAGCGTTTTTCCAACATCAGTATTCCTAATTAAAAGTGAGAGTCTGGAAGGCAGTGAAAATATCCATCTACGGCCCTTTGAACGTCCTCATTAAATGCGAAGGGCTTCCCAGAAACAAATTTCTTCATGTATGGGGATAAAAGGAAGTCTGTGCGTGCCAAATTAAAAGAATAGGGGGAATAGTCACGCAAATCCTACTCCAAATCCCGCAGTTTTCCTAACGCCAACGCACTATTGTGAGCAGGTGCGTTGTCCTGGTAAAAGATGATTTTCTTCTTCGGTCAAGCCAGGGCTCTTCTCACGAATTTCAGCATCTAGCTGGTCAGAAAAGATGAAGTAATATTCGTTTGTGGTTGTTCTGCTCTTTTCAGGGTAATCAATTGACAGAATCCCTTTCGTATTCCAAAACACACTTGTCATGACCTTTTCGGCAGATGCAATCGTCTTCAGCTTCTTTGGTGCCGAACCACCTGCTTCCACCCACTATTTCGACTGATGTTTCGTTCCGGGGGTGAAGTTGAGCACCCGTGTCTGTGACAAATCGCCGCACAATATCGGTTGAATCCGTGTTGAATCGGTCCAAACGTTGCTGCGAAAGTCGTTTAGGCACTTGTTTTTGATCGGCTGTCAACAAATGCGGCACCCATCCTGCGCAGAAGTTTTGCATCCCTAATTCCTTGTGTAAGAGGTTTTAGACCCTTTCTTCCGTTATCACTATGACCTCAGCATTCTCACTCACTTCGGATGTTTTCGTTGATCGTTTCGACTGTGTTTTTTCTAGTGCTAAAAATAATTTGTTATAATTCATCTTAAACATAAACAATTAATGTAATAGACACACATCAGTGATTATGTATTTAATTACCAAATAACAGAGGCATTGGTGAGTCTCTATTTACTACTAATATATTTTGTTTTGTTTACAAAGATAGAAGAGTGATACTTAGTTTGTATAAAGAGCAACAGGCNGCGCAGTAATAGTGACATATCAACAGTAGTGTAAATAAATAGAATAATTCATAACCTAAGTTTGGTAATAATTTAATAGTGTTTTTAAATTCTTTGAGAATTAGTGTAAATAAATAGTTTTTGTCTTAGAAATTAATTTTGTTAAACCGACGAATATTACAAGTGGTGTCAGGTGTGGGGTTGAAAAAAGACATTACAATGGCAAAGAAGTTGCACGAATTAAAAGTTGCCGAGTTAAGAAGCGAATTGGAAGAACAGGATGAAGCGACAAGCTGTAACAAAGCGGAACTTCAATAGCGGGTCGCGGAGGCGTTGGAAAAGGATAGACATGATCCTGAAACGTTCCTCTTCGAAGACGAATTATCGCAAATGATGAAAGGTTTAGATAAATTGGAAGAAAATGGTAAAAGTTTGGAAAATAAATTGGAAGAAAACATTAAACGAAGGAACCGGACATTGATTAAATATCTCTCCAAGATAGTGTCTGATCACTAAAGGGGCTGAGACCGCTATTTACCTTTATTTTTAATGGCATACCGTTCATCTGTCCACGAAACGACTGGCCCAACACCTGCCAGTGTCCTTTTTGGAAGGGAGTTACGACTACCTTGTGACCTCCAATTCGGCTGTAAACCAGGAGATGACTTGGCTGGAGAAGATGATGTTACCAAATTCCGAAGAAAGATTAACGGTTAAAGTTTAACGATATGCACAAATATGTAATATGGCTCACAAGGCCTTCTTTAACCTCTCATAATACTGACCATTAAACACATTTACATTCTTAAATCGAATTCGTTACTAGTTTGCGTTAGAGTAATACATACAGGATCGGTGGAAGATAATTTGGGGGTAGGAATTGCAATTCGTAGGAAAGTAGAGCAGAGTGTAGAAAATTATTTACAAAAAGCGATAGGATATATAGTTATGGTTAAATTAAACTAGACGCCAGTAAAAACGGTATTAGTACAGGTCTACATGCCTACATCATCTTACATCTTACAGTGATGAAGACGTAGAAGCGGTTTATGCAAATATAGAAGACGTATTAAGTTCAGTGATAGGGCAGGAAAACCTAATAAAGACTTCAACGCGGTAATAGGTGAAGGTAAAATGGGTGCAATAGCAGGTTCTTTTGGATTAGGCAATAGAAATATAGGGGAGGCAGACAGACAAAATTTTGCGATAAACATAACTTAACTGTCGCGAATACTTTATTCAACCACCAGGTTAGGAGGCGCTATAAGTGGAAGTTAGTTTACATACTTGTTAAGCAAGGATTTAAAAATCAAGTGTAGGAGTTACTCAGGAGCAGATATGGATAACGATCATAACTTGGTAGTTACGAAGACCAATCTTAAATTAAAAATTCTGAAAAAGATGAAAGGTAGGAGACGTCTTGACTTAGAAAAGCTAAAATGCAGAGAAACGCGTGATAGGCTAGGTAAAAGGACAGACGAAATACTAAAGCCGACGGGAGAAGCGATTGACAGGGACATAGAGACAGAATGGAACTGCATTAAAACGAGCCTAAACGCGCAAGACGTTAAATATACTTAAAAATGTAGGGATTAGTTACAAAGATCAAAGAGTGGTACTCAGTTTGTATAAAGAGCAACGGGCAGTTATAGAGATGGGGCTGCAACGTAGAGAAGTAAATATGAGGAGAGAGTCACACAGGGATGCACACTGTCACCGCTCTTTTTAATCTATACATCGAAGACGCGATCAATTAAAGACATTAAAGAATTACTATGAATTTTATGTGCGTAACGCGATAGCAAGTAGTATAACAGGTGCGAAGCTTCTGATCCTGATAATGTTTGCATTAATAATATGCACACCCATTCTAGATGTGTGAGGGTATGGTGACATGTTAGAAAAATTGTGATTCTTGGTAGCCATAGTGAACCCAGACGGTAACTGATGATTGATACTCGACATGGGCGTCTGGGAGCTACATTATAATTTTCTACTTATACTAGATTATAGAAAATCCGTTTCCCAGATGCTAATGTATCTTAAAAAAGTATCAATTGTTTTCATCAATTTCATTATTAATTAAAAAATATTTATGAAGATGATCATGGTCCGGTAATTCATACGTATGTATCATAAAACCTACAAGTTTTTTTATATAACATTGTTTTGAAAAGTAACTACCAAAAAAAGCCCGTATCGGCAGCACGATTAATGGTATACCAGAAAGTAATTTCACGCACGATTCATCTGGGAAGATTTTGACGTCGACCACAGGAGCCGAAGGATAAGAATCTAATTCCGAGACGATAACTGATTTGTAGTAACCGATTTTTTTAACGATTTAATGTCCTTTCGTCCCAGCCGGTAACTAATTAAAAATAATACACCATTTATTAAACAAAGTATAAACATTATTGTAAATTGTTATATATATATGCAAACTATTAAAATTGCCTTATCGTCCTTTTCGTATATATAAGCAACGGTTTTTTATTAATCCCATATGTAAACTAATCTTTGTTTTTTAATATGTCCCGTGCTACAGGTCTATCTAGCAGATTATATCAGAGGTCGCCGATTTCAATCGATAGACTCCTTACACTGGCGACAATCACGAATATTAGAAATATACATGCTCGTTTTCCGGATCTCCAGTATAAGGAATACGCGGCTACATCGAGCTTCTTTTCCATAGTCAGATTTGGAGTCACATCTGAAGGATCTCACGATTTATTTCCTATCCCAGAGGAATACCAGATGGATGGTTATGTGGCCGCGGACTTCAATGAGGGCCGCGGAATAAATGTTGTCTTTAAAAAGAAGGTCGGCTGGTTGCCAGAGCTAAAGAAAAATGATACTAAATTTATCGTTTGGGAACCGATTTGTATACCATCTTGTCATCAAAGAAGAATCGACTGCCAAATGCAACCATGGAATTCTTTGCCATGAAACTGACCATGCCAATCGTAGGATGTGATTTGGATGGGCTTAACTGTGGAATCGTAGGAACCATGTTGGAGGACACTAAATCACATATTGAGTGACACATATTTGTCATCTAACAATGGAAGTTCCAGAATACTCCAGAAAAATAAGCTAACAAGCATGTGATAATATAAATAGGCCTTTCGATAGCATGAATGCTATTAGTTATTTTATTAGCATATGTACAGCAGGTCAGTAATAAGCTTCCGAGCGAACACAGAAGTAATACAAGTATAGTGAGAAACAAAAGCATTATAAGTAAATACCGTGTGATGTAAACAAGAAAAAGCTCCATGACTACGTGTCTCGTTAGTGTTATAATGTGAAATAACTAACTGTAATATAATTACCCGTTAAATAAATAAAATAAGTTCTAAAAAATTTGTTGTGTTATATTCAATTTTTGGAAGTCAAACAGAGCCGATAAAAAGGTATATCAGTTTTTCTTTTACGTAAACTAACAAACAAATTTTAAAATAAAGGAACTTCAAATTTTTCACACACGTTTGATTAAAAAGTAACAATTGTTTTGCCGCTCTTGGCTGCGTCAGACTTTGAGTACTTACCGCTTACAATACACAATATTCTATGTGTTCATATACAATGCTATAGTACAGTCGAAATAAGAAGGCAAAGTCCCCAATAAATAATGCACACTAAAGGCATATCGTTTTTCTCGTTCTTACAAACGAAAATATCCTGTCTTTACTCTCTAACCACGCCTCCTTCACAGTTGCGTCGAGACCTGCACCTACGTTTCTTAAGAATCAATCGAATAAAATGAGACGATCGACAACATGCTTGTCTTGTCATTTGTACCTACATAAAATGGACAAATTTACAGGGTCGACTTAATTTAGTTGGTGTATTTGTGCGAATAGTCATCTCTCTAAATATACCGTTTCAGTTATTTTTTCGTTGTAACTATTGTTATCGTGGTTTTTGTTGGTGTCATTGTTGTTTTTATTGTTATTTTTGTTGTTAACTTCCAACGAAATGGTCTGAGAAGTAAAATTAGCAATACTGTTTACGGTATCGTAACTAAAAAACAGTAAGTCAGCAGGTAAAATCTGCAAGCAGAACTCAAAACAAGGCAATTAATAGATGTCTCAAAGAGAACATTCTTAGTTTTATCAAAAACTGAATTATATAAATATTATTGTATTGAATTATCTTAGATCTTACAACAACTTTTTCACCATACTGTAGCACGACTACTACCTCAAGCCGATCCTGTAAATTTGCTCATTTAATGTAGGTACAGACAACAAGACAAGCACGTTTTCAACCGTCTCATTCTATTCGATTGATTCTTATGAAACGTAGGTGCAGGCCTTGACACAGCTCTGGAAGAGGCGTGTCTAGAGAATAAGGACAGGATATTTTCCGTTTGTAAGAACGAGAAAAACGATATGCCTATGTGTGCATTATTTATTGGGGACTTTGCCTTCTTATTTCGACTGTACTATACTAGGGGTAGTTCACTACATATTTAAAAGTGGGGAATAATTACATTCTGTTTGATCGTTTAACAATATACCTTATCCGTTGTATTTATTTATTTCCATTTTGCTAGCACGAGAGGCGAGTTTTTCAGAGGTCCTTCCAACTCTGATGCTGGATGCGGACTGGCGATTTTTCCTGCTCAAATTACATTACCTTGGAAATAAATAAATAAAAAAGTTAGGTATTTTGCTACATGATCATACAGAATGTAACAGTTTTCCATCATTAAATTTGTTCTGAACTACCCCTGGTAACATTGTACATAAACTCTGTTAAGTGAGTAGTAGATATTCAAAATCTGATGTACCCAAAAGTGACGAAACAATTGCTACTATTTAGATAAAAGTGTGTCAAAATCTTAAAGCTTATTTTTATTTTGATGTGGATTTTTATCAGGTCGAATATATTCAAAAGATATTCATATAATAGTGTAGACCTAGCACAGTTTCATACGATTTAAGCTACAGTTTTAATTTTCCTAACTAACTAACCGTAAGTTTTCTTTAATTTCGCAGGTGAGATCGAAGTAGTTTCTTTAACTGCTGAAAAACTGGAAGAGAGTTTACATGTTCTGCGGGTTGGCTTCTTTCCACAAGAAAATGTATGTAGGGCCACTCAAGTAGCACAAAATTTAAATGCAATGAAAGAATTAGAAAATTTATGTGTCGATGTTGCTAAAGAAGGATGCTCAATAATTGCAATAGACAGGATAACTCAAAAAGTTGTTGGAGTGGCTTTCAACAAATTACAGGTAACGCTTTCTTTATTTTACTACAAAATTATTGTTAAAATATATTGCTATTATTCTCCTAATAATAATCTAAGATATGTGCTTAAACTTCTTCCAAAATTTTTGTAAGGGATGGCTCTGGGCTTTCATAATTAAACTTGACTATGATGTATTAACAATATTTATTGATAAAAGTCTATTTAACTACAGAGAAACTATATTCCGACACATATGCTTCCTAACGCTCTCACAGCTAGCTCAACTCTACCCTTTGACTCCTCCTTCTTCCGATACAACCCTTTCCGCTATACGGAATCGCCCATGTATATTCCACTTGTAGGAACCGCTAAACTATACTGCTATACTAGTTGTACCCACTCTTACATTTTATTGGTTTTATATTAACCTATTGTTAAATGAATAACATACTTGACATGTATAATATTGTTCAAATTAGTTCCATGTGAAGGCTTTTATGAACTGTTTGATAATAAGCAAAACGCTTGGAATGCATTTTCCTCTTGGTTAATACATGTAGTCCTAATTCGCAGTCTAATCTTGAGGATAATTAATTATTAACAGTTACTATAAAATTTATAATAGATTCTGGCAAAGAAATTAAAACTGCTTAACATATATAGGGTATAACTGAAATAAGTGCGGAGTTGCAGGAAGTGATGTGGCACTACCAAACAGGAAAAACATAAAGCAACGACTAGTACGATCCAGGTAAATCGGCTGATAATAAGCACTATCGTCTTTAGCACTAGGTCGGTATATCGTTCTCTTCCTTCTCCTAAAGTCACTTGCTGGTTTTGGAAATTGCTGATATAAAGGGGAGAGGAGAATAGAAATTGAGAAACAGACTTACTCATGCTACCAAATTGCATAGACGTTTTAATTTTTTTTTCCTGATTTCGTAGCAAATAATCCCCAATGTAGCTTATACACACGAAATAGCTCCTATGTTAAATATTTAACTAATAAATATTAATTATGTTACGAAGACCAATCTTAAATTAAAAATTCTGAAAAAGATGAAAGGTAGGAGACGTCTTGACTTAGAAAAGCTAAAATGCAGAGAAACGCGTGATAGGCTAGGTAAAAGGACAGACGAAATACTAAAGCCGACGGGAGAAGCGATTGACAGGGACATAGAGACAGAATGGAACTGCATTAAAACGAGCCTAAACGCGCAAGACGTTAAATATACTTAAAAATGTAGGGATTAGTTACAAAGATCAAAGAGTGGTACTCAGTTTGTATAAAGAGCAACGGGCAGTTATAGAGATGGGGCTGCAACGTAGAGAAGTAAATATGAGGAGAGAGTCACACAGGGATGCACACTGTCACCGCTCTTTTTAATCTATACATCGAAGACGCGATCAATTAAAGACATTAAAGAATTACTATGAATTTTATGTGCGTAACGCGATAGCAAGTAGTATAACAGGTGCGAAGCTTCTGATCCTGATAATGTTTGCATTAATAATATGCACACCCATTCTAGATGTGTGAGGGTATGGTGACATGTTAGAAAAATTGTGATTCTTGGTAGCCATAGTGAACCCAGACGGTAACTGATGATTG